GTTGGTTATTGTGTTCCATACATTTGAAATATATTGAGAATCGTTACATACTGTTCAATAATGAACAAGTTCTATTTCATTAAATTAATTAATTATGTAAATTTTATATTTTAAATTATATAAAACCATTCTGCCTTAATAAAGGCGCTGGCAATATGTTCAATAATGAACATGTTATTTTTAGACATATGCCAGTCATAAAAACTATGTTAATATTAAAATAATGCAGAATTCACAACTCTGCATAAATAACACTGGCTGGATGTCCTTAAATTTATAGTTTATTATTTTAAGTCTGTTATCGTTAAATTCTCAGAATTGTAAACGAAGGAAAAAAATAAACACGGGTAATACAAAACCTAAAACTAAAATAGCAATATTCTACAATTTTAAAATATATCTTAAAATATTTTATGGCACCTTATCGAATTACGGTAATAAAAATATATTGTAAATAGAAAGAAAAATCATAAGTGCCGGGATCGTTTTTGAACCTTTTTGCGAAGCAATGTAAAATGTAACTAAAATAATACAGTCCACTTAAATGTGAACGATACCAGGCAACAACTTATTTCAACCCTTATTAGTTAAGTTAGTTTTAAGACAATTTTTGTATAAATAGAGAATAGTTTCTTAAATAAAATCAGTATCGATTGAATACTCATGATAAGTGCTTCTTTCTATTCTTTTCAATTATTTTTAATCAACTAATGTAATCAAGAGAGTGTAGTTTAATCAAATGGTGGATATAAATTTGTGGATAATTCGATTCAGATGTTTGCAAAAGTAAATGTAGTTGATTTTCACTAGATCAGTATGTTGTAGACAAAGACTGAGCACCGAACTATTTGGTGCTTTTTGAAAGTTGTCCGGTCGCGAGATTATATCTGATGCCATTACAGATTTTTTAGCGTAACTTAGACCTTCAATCTATGTCGAGCAAAGTGTGATCATAATATAACCAAAACTGTCCATTAGTCTAATACGTTCTATACATATAAGTTAATAGTTAAAACATTTTAAAGATTCAGTAATATAAAAATAAACATAGTATTTTCCAAAAAGCTGTGTATTTAAATATATACTATTTGTCAGGTATTAAATATATTTAAATTTATTTAAAAATGTTTTATTAACTTAAACTAGAATTCTATATTATTTTTCATATATTTTAATAAACTGTATACACTAAAAACGACCCTAAACATCCTACAAATATAGGCCAAAAAGTTATAGTAATTAAAGGCTCACACTTTTTTGATTTGCTTAACGAACTGATACGCAAACCCTAATTCTTTACTTCGGAAACTAAGCTTTTTGTATTTTATTGAAAAATAAAAAAAAAGTTGTAGTTGGCCCATGGGGGGATCGAACCCGCGACCTTCGCGTTATTAGCACGACGCTCTAACCAACTGAGCTAATGGGCCACGTGAAGCCACTTTGTCAAAAATATTATATTAGCTAAGTTCGATAATGGAAATTATTTCAATTTATTTTATTTAAATTTGTATTTGTCACAATCAAATACCAAACATTTAAATTATTTTATAAAACGTGGATGCTTTAAAATTCATTTTTTTAATGTAATACTGCTTAAGGTTTCTTTTGTGCATCTTGCATATAAAAATCCAATAATAACTGCTTATATGATATAAGATTGTTTGTTTCGTTGAATTTTAATGTAAATTAACATAAGTATTTGATCCAATGTATATTAATTCCATGATTATAAAGATAGACAACAATACTTGCCTGTAGTATTATGTCGATAGTAGAAGGTATCGATTTAAAGTACTAATTTAGGGCATCAGAAAAAAGTACCAATGCTACTCAGTACTTACTGAAAAAGTATCGATACTTTTTAGTATTGTAATCGAATTTTTTGGAATTTGCTAAAAATACTTTCAATATGAAATTTAATGCAGTGATACAAAGCAACCAAAAAAATTATTAAAAGCTACACATAAGATATGTGCTCACTCTTGTAAAACAAAACCACGGAACGCTATAAATTGCATTATAACATTTGAAATTATGTGCAGAATTATACAAACTCGCCTCAACTCAATCTGGCGATATCCAGTTTCATATATCCTAACAGCAACATAAAAGTAATACAACCCAATTTACTTTACAAAAACACTATCAAAACCTACTACTAAACGATCTAAAAACAAAACTCTCCACAAATTTTTAAAAATACGACTATCAATTCAAACATAGCGTTGAATACTGAGAGGTAGTAAGATTCTTAACTTCGTCACTATACAATTCAGGCCAAATATTCTTCTATTGGAATATTGATTCATCAAACGCACAATAACAGAAATCCAACTATTTCACTTTAATAGCTTGATCAATTCAAACAATGAAATCAAGTAACTGAGCATCAACACTTAGACTTTAACAAGATTTTTATGTTCGAATATATATTCGTACAATTTTTAAATTTTGTTCGACATTAAAAATTTAAATAGGTTAGCAGAAAAGTGGCAGTCTGTTAAATCAGTGTAGACTCAAGCGTAACGAACCCGATAACGAACAAATGAATTGATGCAGAGTACTATACTCAGAAAATAAAGAATACTTGGGTAAGATTTTTGCATAAGCTCACAGTTTTTCACAAACACATATAAATTTTTGTTCGCATACAAAATTCGAATATAACTTATTCACTTTCAAATATAAATATTTTGCCAACGTCAAACCAGTTAGTTGATATTTGTTTCTTTACTTTGGTATATAGTTTCAATTTTCATATAGGCTCTTGCATTTTCAATACAAAATTCGAAGATACCTATTTTTATCTATATGTAAATATCTTGCAATAATTTACCGAATGTAACGAAGTAACACTACCTCTCTACGTAAGGAATAAACAAAAATTTCCTCTCAAGAATATTTTAGTGTAAATATAAATTTAACGTTGTTTGTTACGTAATAATTAATATTAAAACTCTCATTAATAAATTGTTATTTATTATTTTTATCACTCATACAAACAAAAAATAAATTGAAGAAAGGAAGAAATTGTATACAAGATATTGCAAAAATTGGCATTTTATATGTATCTTTTATAACACATTTACACTGTCTCATTTATACGGCGTTTACATTGGCCGAAAATGGCTCATTTTGGTCAAAAATCGAAAATGAGTATCGAATGGCTCATTCTTGCATATAAAATTTCAAGCACAAAATGAGCAATTTTCTCACATTCTGTATGAATGACGTTCGAATGCATTCCACATATGTTCCAAATGCAAAGGAATCTATTGAACATACCCTAAATAAAAGCTCTTCATGGCATTTTGACAGTTTGTAAAAGCTGTTTTGACATATTTTCAAAAAAAGATAAACAAATGTTTAGTAGTTTTATTTCAGTTTGAATTGTTACCATGAGAACGAATGAAATACAACGAATGTAAACACTTTCAAATGAGTCATTCAAAATGAGCCATTTTCGGCCAATGTAAACCCCGTATTAGGCAGTTTTCCTCATAATAGCCACTGATGAGATGATTTACCATACAAAGCCTGTTTGAGATTTGGCACAACAACCAGGCAGTATGGCATCACTGATTTAGTTTAGCATTAACGCTTGGCTTTTTTTTGTCAACTTCATTGATGATGTGTACGCGCTTTTGCATTTCTAAAAGGCTTTAATTAAAATTGTTTTAATTTATTATTTGTGTAATAAATAAACATTCTAGTTTGTGTATATGAAATTATTATTATGCTTTTTCATACAAAGACCTTTTATATAAATGAGCTCACTATCAATAAAAAATGTGGAATGTAACCTTTAAAAATAAATTCCCCACAAGAGAAATTACCAAAATTTAAAATATTTATCATATATTTTATATATAAAATGTAAAAAACTAACCGATGAGCTATAAACAAAAGCACTTAGGAAAAGTGTATTTAATAAAATCTTTGTTCTTATTAATTGAATACGTGATTGATTTATAAAATGTATATAAATGATTTATTATATCAATTCTATACACAATTTATTTGTGTATTATATTATTAAGTACAATTTATAAAAGTTCTATCAGCTGCATAAACGAGCTCATTATAATGTGAACGTTCACTAGTTAATAAAAATGTGCAAGTGCCTATATGATTCAGAATGAATATATTATTAATTAATTTAAATAATATTTTTCGGTTTTATTCCTAAAAAGATTTTTTACAATATATATTAAAAATATTATGTCAAGAAAGAAATAGAAAAAACAAAGAAAGTGTTTTAATTATTTTATGTAAATGGTCTATGTCCTATAATTTAATGCAAATATACTAAAATTGCAAAATGTTATATTGGATTCACATGAGAGTTTTGTTTGTAATTTTTACTGGAAAAATTTTTTAATTTGCATTGAAAGCAACTTCAATTGACAGCTAAAACTGCAAACAAATTTCTCTTGCAAATCCAGTATTATATGGCGTTTACATTAGCCGAAAATGGTTATAAATATGGCGTTAAATATACCTTCAAACCTTAAAATATATACTGAAAACATGTTTTTAACTTCGATTAAATACTTTTTAGGAAATAGAAGTTCTAAAAAGAGGTGCATCGTTTTCAAGAAAATGCAACCACCAAACATTTGTTTACCTTTTTATTGTATATATGTCAAAAACAGCTTTTTCAAACTATCAAAATGCCATGAAGAGCTTTTATTTAGGGTATGTTCAATGTATTCCTTTGTATTTGGAACATATTTGGAACACATTCGAAAGTCGTTAGGACGCATTCATAGAGAATGTGATGAAATGGATCGCATTCGCGTTTGAAATTTTGTATGCAAGAATGAGCCATTCGCTTCTCATTTTCAATTTTTCACCAAAATGAGCCATTTTCGGCCAGTGTAAATGCCATTATAAAAAATTTTATTAAATCCACATAGATAGAATGGGTATATATTTTACAATAAAAAATGCAACACTGCTTTTAATTTCGAAGGTGTTTAATGACAACGAAATGTCAAAAATTTGTTTGACATACACATAAATCACATTATTGTTGTTGTTTAGGGAGCGCAAGGATTTGTTCTAATAAAAGGAAGGATCGAAATCGATTTTTTATTCGGAAGAAAAATTCTCCTAGTCCATCACGCTCTTTTTAAAACAAAACAAGTTCAAAGAGAGAAACAATAATAGAAATTGAAATTATGGATGTGTAAGTTCCTTTCTTTGCAATTTTCCTGTCTGCAGTTTTTTTAATTATTCATATCTGAAAACTTAATTGAATTTATGTAGACTACAGGATGAAGTGGAATCATTGGAAGCAATTCTCATGGAAGACGTTAACATTATTAAAAATACTCAAAGGTTATATGAAATAAAAAGAAAATAAATAAATATAAAAACACATTTCTTTTTGCATTCGGTTTCAGTGGTGTTGCAGAAGTAATTGAAACAACTGTGTTTCCAGTAATGGGCGATAGCTCGGAGCAGTCGATATGTGTTACTTTACAAGTATTACCAAAAGCTGGGTATCCTGATGTCAGTCCAGAGTTCAAACTGTTGCGTCCGCGCGGATTAGATGACGCACGTCTTAATGAAATTAAAGCAGCATGTAGTGCCAAATTGTTGGAATCTCTTGGTTTTCCAATTGTATTTGATTTAATTGAGGTTGTGCGTGAAAATTTAACTGATAGTCATTTACCAAGCGGCCAATGCGTTATATGTTTGTATGGCTTTTGCGAAGGCGATGAATTTACCCGGACGGAATGCTTTCACTATTTACACAGCTACTGCCTAGGTAGGCATTTAAACGCTTTGCGTCGTAACTATAGAGAAGAGTTCGACAAGTTGCCGGCTTGGCTGCAGAAGACGGCTGATCCATTCCAAGCAGCATGTCCAGTGTGTCGTGAACCAATTAAAGACGAAGCTGATAGTTTAAAATGTGCAATGCCACCAACTGAGTTAGAAAATGCTCCAGATTTTAAGGTGACTCGAGAACTTCAAGAGTTACAACAACGAATGTCTAGTCTCTTTCTGCAACAAAAAAGTCGTGGTGCTATAATAGATATTGAGGCTGAAACTGCAGCTGTAATTTCAATAGAAACTGAAGCAGAAATGCGTAGACGGCTGCAAAGAAAGGCTGAAGCAGCTAATGTAAGAGAAAACAGCACTAGCAATGCTACTGCGAGAGATGTCAATGATAGCGTAAGATGCAACGAAAATTTACAAAACGATGGTGCTAATAATATGACTGATTCAAAGGTAGCTATTTTATAAAAATATATATAAAGGATTTATGATAATAACTTTACAGAAGGAAAATATGACAAAACCATCTAGCAGTGCTTCGCCAACCGGTACACAACCAATACAACGTGAGCCCAACGAGCTAACAAATAATTGCCATCAGCATCACAATCGACGTCACTATCGTGGTGGCCGGCGTCATCAGCATCATCATCACCATCACCGTGACAGAGAAGGCGATCGCGATCGCGAAAACAATCATTCCGGAGTTGCTACTAATTCATCAACAACAAATACCAATGTAAATGGTAGCAAACATTCAAAATCTCAAAACAGGTGACAATGGGCGCTGGTCACAGCAACTGAGGCTATACCTTTATTGTGCGGCGCAACCAAATTAAACTTTTCAAACAATGTATTCTTTTGTGCATCATTTAGTGATAAGTTTTCTGGTTTCTATGCATATAAAACAATTGAAAAATATGGGTGCTAATTTGTTACACCACCAAAAACCTTTACCTGCTTGTTTTAAGTTCTATTAACATATTAGCATTGTTTTATTATTATTTGAAAAACAATTTAATCTTGTTCTTGATCTATACTTGCACAGGTTGATTGATTTTCTTAAATGCTAGAAAACACACTAGAGACGTAGCAATAATCATTAAGCATAAGCAGGAATTATATATAAATGCAGAACATTATACGCACACGAAATTGTTTATATTCTTATATATTTCGTTGGATTTTGCAACTTAAGTTACTACTTAATTTGTATTAATTATTATTTGTTATTTACATAAATTTAATAAGTGCTTATAGAAAGTAGAGAAAAGTGTGTATTTAAGATTCAAAGAAATTAAATATATAAATTTGTGTATTTAAATTTATAACTAATTTGGAAACTGCAACACAAATTTAGGTGAACGTCATTGGATTTGTTATCGAATTTTTCTTCTTCAAATACATTATCTAAAAAATACCTATAAAATATCTATATCTATATAAGATATACGAATACATAGATAAAAATATTAGAATAGTATTTCAATGTTCCGTAAATATAAATTCAATTAATATGTGTCAAAATAAGGATTGATTAAATGATTTTTACATAGAAAGTTGTAAAAATAAAAAAAAAACTCAAGAATGTTTTAAATATACGAAAAAACTAATCGTTCATTTATACTTGAATTTATTAAAAAAAAAAGGATTAAAATTTGCCGCCAATAAAAATTCAGTGCTATTTTAATTAAATGTGAACCATTTTTCATTGATGTCACAAAACATTATTAAGTAAATGGTTGTATTTTTTGTAACCACTCAAGAGATACATCCTAATAAAATAAATTGTTTTAAAATTACTTCTTGATAATGCTTGATTTTGAAAGTATATGCCATATATGTACTTAAAAAACATTGCTCAAACGGATTCCTTCGAATAAATCATGAACTCCTACTAACTACTATAAATGAACATTGGTCAACACATTAACTGGCTTAAAATGGTTGTGGAGATGAAAGTGTTAGAAGGTACAAACGGGTATCATAGGGAAGGTCGTAACAAAGTTGAACAAGCACAATTAAGTAAGAACAATATTTTTATATTATATAAGCCGTCGTTATGTTGGAATATGATAACATACTGTATCTTGGAAAAAATAGTTTGGTACAATAAGTACCAAAGTTTAAATTACTTGATTTTAAAACTAGGATATGATATATCACTATTGTTGATAAATATAATATAATCAACGGTCGTAAATAAAAACAAAATTATATTAACGAAAAACAACTTTCTTGATATATTAATATTTTTTGTTAATTAATATTTAAATTTATATATAAGGTTTTTTGTTTCATTTTTAAATTAAATTCATTAAATTTAAATTATGAATTTATTCGTATATGCTAGAGACTAAAGAATAATGGCCTTATTCATAAAAAGTTATAGTAGGTTTGCAATACATTTTATCAAAAACGTTACTCATAAATGTTATTTAACAGTGTTATAAAGCATTTATAAAACTCTATTCATAAACGTTTTATAAAGTTAAAATGCTATTAAAATGCTGTTATAAAATGCCAAAATTTATAATAGGTTTATACCTTCTATAACAGCGTTTTAAGCAAAATTTTTGGTTGTTTAGTAATTTTTATTGGCTCGTGTCAATTAAATATGGATGCTATAAGCAAAATTATTGTGCAGGTTTTTTTAAATGGAATAACCAATGCATTTAAATGTTGATCATTTTTAGTCGATCATTTTTAACCGGGCATACCACATAGTGACATAGTGACGATGCGTTAGGCAAAATCAGAAACTTTATAATTTTTGTCATTATTATCTTTTTTTATCATTATTATTAGAACCATATGTTCAATCAATTATCGAATAAAACTACTTTTAGAATTAACAACAAATGTTTGTGAATTTTCTAGTTTTAGTCATTTTTTAGTGGTATAAATATAACACTACTGAAATTCTCACTTATGAACTAACTCAAAAATATCTATAAATCAAAAAATTAAATTCTAGTTTAATGTACTCCCTTCAATAGTTAACAAATCTATAAATAAATTCCAATTCTAATATTATGAGTAAAAATATCTAAAAGTTTTAAAATTATTTTAGTAACATGCAAGATCTTATTTTATACAGCATTTAACCATAAAGTAAGGATAAAATGTGAACTGTAGGGAGAGAATCCTAACATGAAGAAGAGCTCAATTGTACTGTTCAGCGGCTACCATACCCTCTGTACAAGTGATTTCCAAACGGGTATCCGCGAGATCGTTAAAAATAGTCTGTGAATCAAACGTAATACGTATGAGTACATAGCTTTGTCTACTGAGATCTCACGTTTTAGGAAATAAGCACAAAAAATCCAAATAATTATATAATTATTTAATAGCCTATATAATGTGCGCAAAACGCGATATCTTCAGCACGTCAAATGTGTCCTCTGACTTTTTTGCTTCAATACTAAATCATTTTTTGTACTAGAGCACAACTATTTTTCCTTAATTTAAACTGGAAGTTGTTTTAATTTCATATTGTTCCTCACAGTATTGTAAAAAGGTTCATTTTTAACAGATATGTAATTAACATTTGTTTTATAGTTATCAAAGGTTTATAAACGTTTATGAAAAGGTACACTATAATGCCATTATAAAGTTAAAATACATTTTAACTAAAATGTATTTAAAAAGCATTTTAAGAAATTTCTATGAATAAGGCCGTAAGTATTTATATTATTATTAATATAAAAAAATTGACAAACTCCAACCTAGTTATTTTACAACTTTGCGATTTAAAAATAGAAAGCATTACTTAAACTAGGTTGCAACACATTTCAGAACCCACGAACTTGTTGATTGATCTTAGTTTTAATATATACATATGTGTAATTTATAATAACCTCGTTGTAATTTATAATAAACTCGTTGTTCTTCAATTTGAAAGAGTTTTGTTATTTCTATACGTTAAAGCAAAAAGTGTACCATTTTCCCTTAAGAATGTTAATAAACGTATATACGAAAGAACATAAATAATTTTTATATAAATAATAATTTCATTCTAAAATGTCTCAAACTAGTTTATTGTAAATTATGCTTTAATTTTGCGGAAAGCCATAGAAAATATTAATCATCAATGTTCAGACTGAAACCTTTGTTTTCTAATCCACTCTTGATATTTTATTATAGTTTATTCCATAAGTTCTCCTTAACTGATTAATAAAACTGACGATACGTATAGCTTATATTTTCATACAATGCTGTTGTATTTAATTTATTAATTATTTAATGTATTATATTTTTTTAATATTTAATATGTTATATATATTATTGTATTATATGTATTATTATATATATTATTGTTATATTATATATATTATTATTATATTATATATATTATATTATATTACAGTTTACTAATAATTTACTTTAATTAAATTTGAATAGTTAAAAATGTAGGATACTCACGTCACTAAAATGTTAATATTGTAAACCGCACCTACAAGTCCAGATTAACTGTGTTATGACATGATTTTGAAATCCATAGAAATAATTGGCGAGATTATCTATCTATTCTATCTATCTGAGATAGAAGAGAGATTATAGATTTGAATACAAAAACTAAAATGAGGGGCAGTGTTTTTTTTTGGAGTTCGTAAGGTGAACTGAACAAGTCATCAAAGAAAAACTCTAGTGAATTTTATAATTGAAATTTGACAATTAGATTTAATAACAAAAAAAAAAAAAAAATAAAACTGGAAAAACAGAAAACGTAAAAGTAAATGTAAAGTGTTTTTTTTTCTTGTTTAAAATAAGTTCTTGATACTAAACTCACAGGCAATATATAATAATGGTTTTCATAGCGGTAAAACGTTTTAAATAGTATTATATCGCAATACAATACAATTTTTCACAAGATTTTTATGTATGTACAAAAATCATATAGAGTAACTGCAGTTATATACCTCATGATCAAAAAAGAACGAGAATTTAAAAAAAAACGCAAAATTTTAATAATTTTCTTTATTATCGCATAGTAATAAAGTACTCTTTATGATGCGTTCGATGAATGTGGGATCACTATCTGCGTTGGAAATCATCTCTTTGGCCACATCACAACGACCCTTTTTTTGAATGAATTTCAGCTTTTTTGCCACCAGTCGAGAAGCGACGCGTTTCAAACCCAAAACATCAGTTAAAATGTGTTCGGCCGATCCATACGAGATGCCCAACAACACTGCAATCTCTCTAATCAGTTCACAACGATTTTCCAACACGATCTACTTCGCCGATTCAATGTTTTCTTCAGTAACAGATGTTGTTGGGCGGTCAGGGATCTCATCAGGGTCCAAGCTTGTACGACCGTTTGAACCTTTTAAACCATTCGTATACTCGTGGTTGCGACACACATAAATCACCAAAGGCCTTTTTTTAACATTTTCAACGTTTCGGCACACTTGAATCTATTGGCAACACAAAATTTGATGCACGCACACGCACATTGTTCTAATTTTTGATCCATTATAAAAATCACCACACGAAAATTTTTGACTTTTTGTATAGACGCCAAACAAAAACTAATCGTACGATATGCGTTAAACTTTGACAGAATGTTATACCAGCGTGAAAATAAAAAAAATTTACCGATTAGATAAGCGCGGGAATTCAAAAATTAAAATTCTCGTTGATCACAAGATAATTCTAGTCTAAAAAGTTACTTCTGTCACTTCGATTTAACTAACCTCACATTTAACTAATTAAACAAAATTATGATATAAGTAAAGAATAAACTCTGTTGTTAAAATTATTTTTTTAATATCTAAGACTTCAAATATACAAATTATAGAATATAAAAGTGTAATTAGAATCGATATTTATTTGTTTTTTTTTTTATTTCATTAATGAATGGTCTAGAAACAAAATTAAAACTTTTATAAGAATTTCTATATTTTTAAGGTATTATCAAATAATTACAAATTTCTTTAAATTCCTTTTAGCATTTCAATATGGTTTTCAAATTGTTTCAACATTCATACATATACCTGCATACTGTTGCATACTCAACTTGCACAATTATTATTAATGAGAAATATGAACCATAAAATTAAAAAAACTATAATAATTTCTTAAACTAGGACTAAAATGTACAGCAAACTTATTATTTTTTGTAATATTTTGTAACTTAAGACTAATTGTTTTGTGTATTTGTTTCATTGCTCTAATCCAAACATTATTTCCTTAACTAAACAATGTGTTTAATATTTTAATTACACAAAATTTTTTTTTTAATTTAATAACAAATTAAAACTAAGGCAAACAGAACGAACTTGTAGTTTTATAATCTTTTGCTGACGTAACATACGCAAATATGTAGAATTAAAACGATATTCTACTTCGTAAAAGTATTCAAATTAATGTGTGTAATAATAGCGGATTAAGATTTATTAACGTGGTAATTTATAAAATTATTTTAATATTTGAAATATAAAATTAGTATGTTTTAAAATTTTGTAATAAAAACGGAAAGATTTGCTATAACTCAATTACTCGGTTGACAATTTGTTTTAGGACTGTTCGACTTGCTTAGCTTTTTGTATGTTCCATTTTACTTTGTATTTATTTCTAAATATTATGTATATTTAAGTAATATTAATTAATTTAAACAGAACTATGCGTACGAACAATTATACTTTATGTATGACTTTGCTTAATTTGTAATTGAAGAGAGTTTTTGGGGAACCCCGTTCACAGTCTTTGATTTAAGAACATCATTTTCATATGAAAACACAGTTTCTCTACCATTCTCAAATACTCTGCAATGTAATAAAAGAACAAAATAAAATGTTATTAAAAGTTATTTATTAATAAATGTAAAAACTAACCGTTTGGTCATTAACTTCTTTCCATTGACAAAAGTGGTTGATGTTGACGTGCGTTTGACGGCTCCATTCACACTAGCAGCACCGCTTCGTCCACTGCCATTAGAGACTGTATTAAAGGTGGAGAAAGATGTAAAACCATTGTTTGGCATGAAAAAGTCCATCATTGTATAATTGAGCATTGGCGCTGCAAAAGGAGAATTAACTTTATGACTACCAGAAGAACCATGACGCCTACCATTTAAAGAGGTGTAATGAGTATCTGTAAAATATCGAACATTTTTATTTATTTTATTATTTATTATTTCAATCATTATTATGTTATTGATTTAACTCTACCTCTAAAAAGATCTGCAAATGGAGAGTTAACTCCAAAGAATTCACGGAATACCTCTTCAGGTGGTCGGAAAACAAATGGAAAACCGCCCATAACATCAAAGTCTTCAAAGTCATGAGTATGTGCTTGTCGAGAAGAACGATGGTGACCGTGACCACCAATTAAACCTTCCTTGCCATACTGATCATAAACACGGCGTTTTTTTTCTAAAATTATATTAAAATGACTCATAAAATATTTTTCAAAAAAGTTTCTTTTATTCATAATTAGTAAAAAATCTAAAAACGTAAGTGCTTAATATTATTATACTTTAAAACTGATTTAAAACGAAGTTGCGGTAACTTGTGGTATCGTTAGTAAAATTATTTTTATGAGTCTGGTACTCTGCAAGTTCTATACACTTACTATAAATATCTATACAACATATATGTAAGGGTGAACCAACTATCTACTAAATAAGTATAAATAAATTTGTGGTAAACTTGGGTAAATGAAACCAAAGATTTATTTTCTGGCAATTCTGGCATTTGTGTCATTACCTCAACTTCAAACAGATTACGTGAACGGCCAACAAAAATATATGCCGAATAAGCAGAAGTAATGCTTATAATAGAACACAGGAGAATGTTTCAATAAAATTTTTTAAATATTTATTAATTTTGTGTTTTATATTTTCTAAATTTTAATTAATGTATTACAACTCTCAGTTATCACTTAAAGTAAATAGATAGATAGGTTTTTGTGAAAAATTTAAGTGTACGCAGTTATGAGTTTTGGAAAGTTAAATATTAAAACATAAAATTCCTTTGAATTATCAAAAGTCACAATATAAAATTTATTTATATTAATCGAATGCATAAACTGAACCGTTGTTGTTTTGTATTTATATGAGTAAAGAGACAAATATTTAAGTGATACAAGTTCCTGATAAAGTGAAATATTAAATTTAATGTTTATATTTATTAATTATGTCAGATTAAAAATGAAAATTATGCTAATAAATCAACGTAGTGCATGTGAGGTCAATGAAAGCTTAATTAGTAGCAACAAATTTTTTCAATTCAATATTTTTTATTATAAATACAGCAGCAAATTTATGTTTCAGTTTAATAAATTTAAACCAATTAATAAATTTTTCTAAGTGAACAGCACAAACAAAAACACTTTCATTCACACACGCACGATCTGTCAACTGACAGACGGTCATAAAAACTTTGCGGAAGCAGGCTTTTAAAAGCCAACACAACCAACGAGCCCATGCCAAATGATCTTTACCGAAAAGTTTGTGGAATGGTGTTGACTCAAATAAATTTCGAAAGGTGAACGCCTGATATCGGTTGCCACGCTTCGTTGAACCGTAACTGTGGGGGTAGTAGTCGCCATAGTCACTGGCACTGGATCTAGTACCGTTCGTACGATAACGGTAACCGTTCGTGCTGCCATTACTATAAGAGGAGCTGTTGTAGCTACTTTTGTGTAACGTAGAGCGAGAATCGTATATTTTTCGTTTGCGTGCTATATTGTATAGTATATAAATATATTTGACACATTTTTTATATTTCTTCTTAAAAACTTATTGATATATGTGAAAAAAAATTTTTTCAAATAAAGTTTTTAACAAAACTCACCGTCTGATAGAACTTCATAAGCCTCAGATATTTCTTTAAAGCGCTTATTAGATTCGTCCAAGTTGTCTGGATTTTTATCTGGATGCCATTTCAATGCTAATTTTCTGTAACTGCAAATATGGAAGTGGATAATATTAAATAAATTCATATGAAATTAAAAAAACTTACGCCTTTTTTATTTCAGCATCGGTAGCTGTGCGGGGTATATCCAAAACAATGTAATAATCAGCCATTTTATGATCTAGTATCAGCGGTTTTGCAATAGTGAGTGGAAATACGTTGTCGACGTTTCTTAATATACTTCGACGTATGCCTTATGAGATACTTAGTTGACTGCAAATCTTATTTTATTGATTTGATATTATTTTTTAAAATTGAACCTAAAAACAAAAATAATAATTTTGATTAACGAAACTGTTATAAATTTGAATTACATTGTGATATTTAATAACTTTTTTTTTAATTTTTCAAAGTATAGTCGATTATTTAACATATAAATGTAAACATTTTTGATATACTTAAATATGTATAAAAAATTAATTTTAAATTTCTATTCGTACCAAATGGACTCCTAAATAGCTATATTGATCTGATATATATACCATAATTTCTATATAAAGAGGATGAACTTAGGTTATAACATTTGTACGAATTGCTGTTGTTGTTGTTGCTGCTGTAGCCCGCAGTGACCTAGCGTCAATAATTACGATGAGAATCACACAAAAAAATTTGATTTGGTACATTAAATGCAAAATAAAAAAATCCTTTAGAAACTCATATATAAATCAGCGTATATAAATCAAGTTCTGATGTTCCAGGAACTTAAGAATTAAATTTAATTGCACAAATTGGAGTATAAATTTTTCTTTTGCGCCACAGTAGTATATGTTATTTACATATCAAACTGTATAATGGCATTAAAATAATTGTGAGAAAGATGATGTAATGATGTAAGAAGATTCTGTTTTCATTTTCATTCGCATAATGCAGTTACAATTATAAAGAACAACAACCGATTTCTTAAAGCAAGTTGTTTTTTATAAAATTTATAAATTTTCAATTTAAATCATTTGATTTCTGTGATTAAAGTTTATATTGTGTTTGTATTCATATTTTCTCGAAGGCACGTATTTTGTGACACCTGTCGTTGTGACACCTTATCAGAATTCATAAGTCAAAATACACGGCTTTGGATTTAACCCATCTTAAATTGCAATAAGTTTGGTCGTTAACGGACCATTTACGTATATGTTGCCTCAAAATGCAACAATAAAGTTCTCAACTCTCTTTTCTGCAATATCAACAAATTAATCTGAATCTATTTCAGATGAATTACGTGTAGTACGAAAAGCCGCTCATATAGACAATCCACATGGCGGCACTGGGTATGCTAGCACTATATGAAATATATAAATATTTATACCGACGCATGCTAATTTCGTTCATTCATTTATTTAATTTGCCAATTATTTATGTATTTTAAACTGCTGTGCAGCGGACACCATTATTTTCTATACAAGCTTCTATTACTAAGATTTCAATTCTAATTTAGCTTTTGTTTTATTAAATTTTATAAAATTAGCCTACATTCCCTTGACACAATTTAGTAAATCGCGTGGCGATTCTATTCATGTAGGTTCTTTTCGTCTCGCATGTTTGATATGAATCGACAAATTGTTTTCACATTTTAAGGTTTCATTTCACTTGCATGTGCGTTGCGTTGTTGTGGCAACATTATGGCATTGTCATTTACATTGCCGTTAACAGATAATTAACCTGTGGTGCATAACATAAAAAGCCTTTGCTTACATTTTATTCCCCCTGTAATCATATACTCATGCAAAACCCACAAGCTAGTCTTTAAAATCCCATCTTTATACTGTTAACGTTGTTGAACATTTAATTATATTCGATTTTTTTCATTTATATAAGAGCTTATGTTGCTAGATCTGAAATAGCTAAACAGCAGTCTAAAATCATCGTTGCCGTAATTAAAAAATAACAAAAATAGCGACATGTACCAGAGCGGGCAGATACCTGTTGACTTATTCGGTTCTAAGGTGGGTGTTGTTGCCGCAGTTTTCTAAAATAGTGAGAACAACACTAAATACACAGAGAAAAATTTTCTATGATTTGTTCTTGATATTTCCTCTTGCTTTGCGTATATATTTCATATACAAGTATTACAATGTTCAATTGATAGAAAAGGGTAAAATAAATAGGTAATGCAAATCATGTTCAGAGTATTTTGATATAAGAACATTACTAGACTATATATGAATTATGTTGTATTGTTTGAGCAATTAAATTGTGGATATTGAAATCCAAAATAATCTTAACAGAACAGTACATATAGCATATGTAAGTGAGTATTAATGGTGAGCAAGGTTTACGTCATCACCATAAGTCGAACTAAATGAAATCTGGCTAAATCCATCCTGAACTATTAAAAACCGAATACACCTAATAACCTAATAAAAAATTAACTTTTTTCTGTTGAGATGGGACAAGGTAGTCTCATAATACCATAAGTAAGAAAAAGTAAAAATAATAAAAAAATAATGTGTACGTTTAGTTGCCGTAGAACTTAATCAGTGCTAAAGTGGTGACTCTTTATCATATTTATAACCACACTAATCATCATCACTCTCAACACAATAATCAAATCAAATGCCAGATATAATGTGTGATTATTTTTGAGCACCAGCGGCTAAAACTGCTCTAACGTTGTGCTTTAACATTTTGTTGAATTCTTTACCCGAGTGGGCGAAGGTAAGCTATGATGATGACGCTTCTAACATACAACGACGAACAAATAATAAAAAATTTAACAAACCTATAAATTTTACCTACAAAATACAAAGAATCGTATTTTGTAGTTATTTTTTTCTATATATAATAAAATAAATACAATTAATTATTTATATATTGGATTAAAACATTCTCTTTTTGAAATGTGCAAAAAGTCTTAGTACACAGGAAAGTCAGTCAATCAAATGTGAAAAATGTGTCTCGATTTTGTCTCTGACTCTACTAGACACGTAAGTCGAATTCGGAGTCTAACTTGAGTGAGCTAATATTTTTCTTCATCTCTCAACGATACACTTTAAAATTACATCATCGGACGTAGCACCAGAATGCCAGCAATATTCATCAAGCAGTAATATCCATTAATGCAACACCAACACACAACTGCCATCGATTAATTGATGGAGAAGACAGCAGCGTAAAACGAAGCGGCGAATATTAAGCCGAAACAAGAGTTAACCACCAACTTCGATCATTGACGCTTGATTGCAACAACGTCAACGCTTTGGATAATAAGTCAGTATCAGCTTCGTCAGCGCAGTACCCTCACCATATAAAAGTAATGTAATAGCGAAAGCAGCGCAGCGCAGCGCTACAGCAACGCAGCAACTAAAAGTCAATGCCAGTTTAAACCAATTTTTATAATTTAATTAATTTGTTTTATTTTAGGTTTAAAAATTATATTCGGCAATAAATGCTATGTATTTTCATTAATTTAAAAATAGTAACAAGTTTACGCGCGAATATTTATTGCTAATTAAAATAAAAAAATTAAAAAATTATTTAAAATATTCAATTTAGCAACTCATATTATAAATAACAATAATTTAAAAAAAAATATTTGCAGAATAAATTAAGAAGAAGAAGCAGTGCATGCAATGTTACTTTAAAAAAAAAAACTGTTAAAAAAGCTGTTAAAAGTTACCACTTTCTATACTTTCTTTACTTTTATTTACACATATGCGTTTATACATACAAGAAACTATTTTTCTGATGTTAAGTACTATAAATGGTACTGTTCATGATTATAATTCTAAATTGATCTCCAGAATTTATTTTATTAATATTTATAATTTTTACGAAATCATTATATTTATAATATTTATTTATATTTATAATTGCACTATAACGGTTTGATGGGATAAAGTTTTTAACACGATATTGGTTCTAAAGAGAATCTACCATATTTCATTCATTAAAATTATTTTACGATATTTAGTTTTTAATTATACTGTATAAACATATATTTCAAATTTGTAAAATTTTTATTAATAAATGTTTAATGAACTTTGTGTGAAAAGTATTCAATTTTCATATTCGGTAAAGCGAAAGCAAACTTTTTCAAAATATTTTAATTTACAGATTTTCAATGTTCAAGCAAATTAAATTCAATAAAAACAAAACTTTTAAGATTTTGTATTTTTTGTTAATTTCATTTCATTGTTACATTTGTTTTATTTATTTTCTTTAATTAACAAATAGTTTGAGTGCCTCTACCACTTTTCACTTTTCCAAAAAAAAATTATATTAAAAACAAACAATGAAATATTACCGATATTTGCAGCAAACATAAGCTTGAGGAAGACAGCAGGCTGGTGGCACCACATATATTGGATAGCAATAAACAATGTGCAGCAATATGCAGTGTTCGAACAAACTGGGCAGTTAAATTGGCAGCGAAACAAGCGATAATAATGCAACCCAGTTTCAGACAAATCAATGTAATTATAAGCAAAACAATTAAAAGAAAATCATAATAAAGTAAACAAAAACAATTGATTAAACAATCAAAAATGAGGCGTGTCTTATAGGAAAACCAATAATATATACGCGCAACAAATGACAGCCGAAAAATTACGACAACGAATCGCATTTACAGCGATGATGGTGCACTGATACCACAAAATATCTGAATGAAGCTGAGCAATCATGCGGATTTTCACAGGTTGCACCGGTGTGAAATCGTTAGGTTTGATGTTTGAAGCGTTAGACATTAGACATTGGTCTCCCAACACAACAGAAGGGCTTAAAAGTGGATGTGCAACTAAAAAAAGTAACATATATATCTATTTATATTACCAAAATCATCTTCTTTATGTAACTACAATAAAATTATATTTTACGACCATTTCGAAACAACCACAATAAATTTTGAAAATTATAGTAATAAAATAGAGTTTTCTCTGGTAAAAAATTTTCGGAGAAAGCTGAAGACGCAAAACATAGTTTCCTTTAACGTAAGCGTTAGTATATATTAAGGAGTTTCTATTTAATGACTAAAATGGTTTATTAACTATACCTCAGAACTGGGGTCAAAAATTTCACAAAATAAAAATCGTAACATAAATTATTTTTAATGTTAATTATTTGCTTTCGCAAAGGGAGATTTTTCGATCATAACCAATGACAATTTATTGAATTAGAAGAAATCATTATTTCATTATTATTATTATATGTTTGCTATAATGAAAACAATGTAAAAACAAAAATAAGCCTTAGTAAAATTAAGCTTCCCTTACTGAAAAGTAGGAAATAATCGTTGACGAAAAATTTTCAAATTCCTCCAAATAAA